CTGGGTTAAACCCTGTTAAAAAAATGCTAGAAATTCAGTTCASCTCTGAATATTCTCCTAAAACAGGACCTTGGATACTCACTAAAGCTATATAYCAGTCCTTCATGAGATGGAGTCAATAACAATGACCATCATTAGCCATCTCTGMAAGCATMAGGAATTCTTTCAAACACACCAGTTTTCCACAGAAGGAACCATGAGGAATGAAATTTTTTTCCATTTCTTGACCTGTGTGTTTTCTGGTGACTAACTTCACTTAAAAATGCCCTATGTCTTCTAACACATTTTCAACTGCTTTAAGGATCCCTATTCATTCATCCATTACAAAGTTCTTGAACCCTCACTGTGACGTTACATGGAGATAGGTAATGGGGATATGTAATAGGCAAGAAGAAAGGGCTTCTTGTTCTCCTAAAGCTGATCCTCCAAATCATTTCTAGTGCAGGAAGTTTGGCCATCCTCACAGCAGTCTTATCTAGAGGTCACATTCCCTTTATGATTCTAAATCATGATCTCCTTTCTCCTTGTTGGATGGACCACTCCTGGTCACTGAGGGCCATCACGCATTGGGACTCTGGCTTCCTGTTCCCTGATTCTGACAGGAAACCTCTGTTCCAGTACAGAAATCATGCTGAGCCCGAAGTCATATCTCTGTCCTGAATGGCCTGCCCAGACTTGTTTTCTGCCTCCAGAAGATATAGCATGACATGGACAATGAGGGGGCAGGAATTAGGACTGTTGACCATCCCAATGTCAGTAGAGGACCAATGTTGAAGTACAGATAGCCCAGGCTTTGGAGTCATTAAGAACTGGGTTTGAATCYAGATTCCAGGACTCCCTGGGCTTTGATAGATTCCTTACCCTCTGCAAGCCTTTGTTCCCTTCCCTGTGAAACAGGGACAGTTCCTCCCACATAGCAAGGTGGTCTTGAGTGAGAATCAAAGCTCAAGCAGCAGTTGCTCACATCTTGTTTGTGTCTCCAGGTGCACCAGTGGAGAGTTTTAGCATAGATCCAATGGCACCATCCTGAAGGACAGACAACACACCAGTGAATGGAAGTGACCAGTTTGTGACAAGGAGACCCTGATCCTAGGCTTATTGGCCCTCATCACTGTCCTGGTTGCTGTGGTGGGAAACATGGTTGTGCTTCATCTTCTGAGCTTCTGCATGGGGAAGAATGCCTTCTCCATCTACATCACCAACCTGTCTGGARCTGACCTCCTCTGCTTCCAGGTTATAGATTACCTGGAGTAACTCACTGACTTCTTTCATTCCATCTCACCTTCATCCTAGCTTCTTTACCACTGTGTTGACTTTTGCCTACCTCCATGACCAAACTCAGCCTCATTTTCAAATATCTCCCTTCCTCTCTGTCTCAATATCTGTCTCTCTCTCCTTTCTCAAACTTTCCTTTTACTTCTCAAAAGCACTGAAAGTTCAGTTCATCTCTGAATCCAGTCTCTAAACTCTTGACTTAAATCCTTCTCCATGCTCAGTAAATCCAGACATTAGCCTTCCTTGAGATGGAGAAAACAACAGTCACCATAATTACTCTTCTCTTTCCATGGGGCATTCTTTCCAATACATCTATGTTTTTCAAAGAAGGGTTCATGAGGAATGCATTTGCATCATTTCATTCCATATGTGTTTCCTGGTGACTAATTCCACTTAAAAATTTTGTGTCACACTTAACCCAAATTTCAAGTCTGCTTATGTTTCCTATTTGTTAATTAATTCACCTGTGGATTAAAGACAACTTGACTACTCAACTCTGTCCTCCTCAAGACGCTGGGCACTGGGAAGCAGCATGGACTAGGAAAAAAAATGTTCCCTGTCCTCATAAAACTGAYTCACTGAAATATTTCTTTCCCTAGAGACCTGACTGTTCCTACACCCCCCGCCCATGCAAGAGGTCATATTTCCTTCATGACTCTGAGAGACATCCTTTATCCCTTGTAGAAGGATCATTCTGAGCCTCTGAGGGTGGCCATTTGCAATTACTGGTCCTCTGAATTCTTGCTCCTGAAAGGAAACTGCTGTGCAGAGGAATTCTGGGGTGACCCCATTTCTGTCCCACACAGTTTGTCCCAGATTTTCTTCCTCCTGCTCTGGGGGTCATGACAGAGCCTAGGATATTCAATGAGAGTGTTGGCATCATAGAACGTTCCCATGTCAGTACCAGATCCATGTTCCAGGAGAGAGAGATCATGTTTTAGAATCAGAAAGCACTGGGTTTTATGGAAGTTTCAGAATCCCCTGACTTCATTAATGACTTAAGCTCTCAAAGCTTTTGTATCCTTCCCTGATACAGAGGGCCAGTACCTCCCACATAGCAGGGTGCTCTTTAGAATCCCAGTGCACGATGGAAGGTGCTGAAATCTTATTTGTGTTTGCAAGGGCACTGCAAATACAGTGGTGGAGGGTTCCTGAAAATGCAGCCAATTTCCCCACCTTGGTGAACTAATTTCACAACAATGAATAAAAATGAGGAAGACAGTCCTTTATATTTTCACAAGAAGACCCTGATTGTGAAGTTACTGCCAATCATTATTACCTTGGTTATGCTGGTAGGAAATGTGACAGTGCTCTGTTTCCACATCAGCAGGAACAACACCTCTCTCTACATCCTAAACCTGGCTGCTATGGACTTTTTCCCTTTGCTTCCACATTATAGATATCATGTTGTATTTTACCATCATCTTTTATTCTGTCTTCATCCCCACATACAGCTTCTTTGCCCTTCCGTGGATCTTGCCTACATTGCAGGCTTGAGCATGCTCAGTGCCATTAGCACTGAGCACTCTCTGTCAGTCCTGTAGCCTATCCTCACTGGCTCCTTTACACAATGACTTCAGCAATGGCTGACTTGCCAGCTGATACTCCAGTGGGCTTTGCAAGACTCTCCAAGGAAGATGAGTGTGGAAACAGCTCTTCTCAGGAAGTCCTAGAGATATCAGGTGGCAGAGTGAAATGGTGATGAAGAACCTCTGCTTTGATCAGACAGATTGGCTCTGAGACCCAATTTCTCACACACCATCCATGTTGGGACATTTTCTTAACTTCTCACATCCTTGACTTCTGATMTTAAAACAGTTAAGAGAATAATCGCCCTGAAATAAATGACTCAATGAATGAATAAAYCTGGTGCCTTTTTTGTAGTTGAAAATAGTGGTTAATTAGTATGTTGAGTTTTAAATTTGTACACAATTCTGAACATATAAACCAAAAATCTAAGAAGCCATCCATTGTGATTCTTTTACAATAGTTACTCTAGCGACTTTCCAGCTTCAAATATGGAGACTTATTTTCCATATGTCCCATTATCTTCTAGTGTTCATAAGTTGTAACAAAGTCCCACTAGTGCACAATTTTATGTAATATATACATATACTCAAATTTTATTTGTAGCACATTAGCAAAATTCTTAGAAAAAGTTTACTACTGTGACGAAAGATGTTATAGAGTCCACATAGTTCTGAAAGGGCAAAGATCAAGGAAACAAATCTCACAAAAATGATATGGAAATAGAAGTGATTTAAAATGTTCAAGCATAGTAAATGCCTGACTGTGACTCCAAATTGTTGATTAGAATGCTTTGTATTATAGGATACAAAACTGAACCCTTCACTTCAGGAATATTAGGCTGACACTAAAGACATTCAAAGTCTCCTATAATTCATATCCCCCTAAAATVAATAACCAGTCAATGATTTCAACTCTTCAAAAAAATCATTTACACTTGGGAAATGGGAGAAGAAAACATGGGATTCCTTCCTAAAAAATATTGTTAGAATCCATTACAGCAAACTTATCGAACCACCCACTGATCTCCCGAACGGATGAATGGATTAAGAACATGTGAGATATATATATATATATATATATATATATATATATATATATATATATATATGATATATACTTATGTATATGATATATATAAACATATGTTTATATATATCATATATATGCACAATGGAGTTTTACTCAGTCTTAAAGAATAATGAAATTATGGCATTTTCTGGTAAATGGATGGAACTGGAGAATATCAATAATAAGTGAAATAAACCAGTGGCAGAAAGTCAAGGGTCTAAGGTGTATGTGTGTGTGTGTGTGTGTGTATGTGTGTGTGTAAACTAGAGTGAAGTAAAGAACATGTGTGTGGAGGGACACACAAAAACAGGGGAGATCAGTGGAAGGGGACTGGAGGGTAGGAAAGACAGGAAAAGGAAGAAAATGTGGAATGAAAATGATAATATTATGTTATGTCCATAGGTAAATATATCAGTGAATTCTACCTTATGTTTATCTATAAAGMACCACTTTTAAAAAATAAATAAATAGATGGCAGATCAGTAAAATAGAGAAAGGAGATTTGGGGGAAAGAGGAGGGGAGGAATAGAGGAAGCACTGGGGACTTAAATGAGCAAGTTATATTCCATGTATGATTATTTTAAAATGAACCCCACTTATGCATAACTATAATGCACTATTAGAAACATTTTTTTAAATATTTCTACAGCTACAAGAAATTTGCTTTTATGAAATATTTGATAAGATTATTTTAACGGATTTTTCAAGAAGGGAGAGAAGGACCACTGATAAGAAATAGTACATGGTGTTATCAGCTTGGCTTCTTTTCTTTTGCTTGGTCAGAAGGCTGGACTTTCCTAAGTTTTAGTTTCTCTGTTTACTTCAGGCAAACCTTCTTTTGTTTCTTGCTAACCCACTTTTGCCTGTTTTCCCTTTACTCCCCTTTCTCTTTGCCTGTACTCATTTTTTTGAAAGTGTATCCTTGGGTTTGGGTTGTGGCTCAGTGGTGGAGCACTTGCCTAGCATGCATGAGGCACTGAGTTAGGTTCTTACCACCACATATAAGCAAATAAAAGTCCATCAACAACTAAAAAAAAATTTTAAAAATGTGTATCCTTTCCTGCTGCCCTTTTGGCTTCCTTTCCATTTTTCAGGGGCATGTTCAACTGACAACCTTGCTGATCTCCTCTTGGGCTCTCCCTTCCTCACTCCTTGGCCTGAATTGTCCTTCCTTTTGCACATCTTTGTGGTGGGGAGAATATGTGCCAGATGTCAGTAGGCCACCGTGTACCTATAGCCTTGGCAGAGCTGGGCATCTGGCAGATGGTGCTCCTCCCTCTGTTGGAGCTGGGACCTCTCCAGGATACATTTAAAGTCTATCCTGGGCTAAATCTCCACTTAGCAGATTAGAATCACCATCATTACATTTATTGCTTTCATTATCTTCAAGCATTTCAAACATGTAATATGGTTTTATACCCAGATGAATATGGAGGGAGAGGGAGGGAAAAATAGATTTGGAAATGAGATTGAGTTTGGTCATGGAAATATCTAAGGGGGTTTAGCAAGTGACTTACTGTGAGATGTGTAACAAAAAAAAAAACCTATTCATTAAACTCTAACTGATTCTAAGGACTTTGGGTGAAAAGAAAAATACTCATGCACACAATTCAGATGGAAAACAAGGAACTACAGAAAAATGGCAGCTATTATGAATACAAACAACAATAAGTTTTGGTGAGGATGTTGGGGAAAGGTACATTCATACACTGATGGTGGGACTGCAAACTGGTGCAGCCAATATGGAAAGCAGTGTGGAGAATCCTTGATAAATTGGGAATGGAACACCATTTGACCCAGCTATCCCACTCCTCAGTCTGTACCCAAAGGACTTAAAAACATCATACTACAGGGACACAGCCACATCAATGTTTATAGCAGCACAATTCACAATAGCTAAACTGTGGAACCAACCTAAATACCCTTAAATAGATGAACGAATAAAAACAAATGTGGCATATGTACACAATTGAATATTACTCAGCAATAAAAAGGAATAAAATCAGGGCATTTGAAGGTAAATGGATGGAGTTAGAAATGATAATGCTAAGTGAAGTTAGCCAATCCCCCCAGAAAACAAATGCCAAATATTTTCTTTTATATAAAGAGGCTGATTCATAGTGGGGTAGGGAGGTGGRGCATGGAAGGAATAGATGAACTCTACATAGGGCAGAGGGGTGGGAGGGGAAGAGAAGGTGCATGGGGTTAGAAATGATGGTGGAATGTGATGGACATCATTATCCAATGTACATGTATGAAGACACAAATTGGTGTGAATATACTTTGTTTAAAACCAGAGATATGAAAAATTTGTGTCCTATATGTGTAATATTAATTGTAATGCATTCTGCTATAATATGTAAATAAATAAAAATTAATAAAAAATAAAATCTACCTAGAAATGCAAAAAAAAAAGGATAAGAAAAGAAAACGGGGGCTGGGGAATGTGACTCTGAGATACAAAATAGTTTTCTCACTATTATGTTTGAAGCTCTGGATTCAATTCCCTGTGCTAAAAAAGAAAATAAAAAAGAAAAGAAAGCAATTTTAATAATTAAGATGTACTAAATTCTTATGTGCCCAATGCTAGTTTGAGCATTTCGTGTAGTAACTTGTTTAATCTTCAGGATAATCTTGTGACTATCATTACTCTCATTTAGCAGTTGAGGAAACTGAAAGAAAGATTAGATAATTCATGGAAAGTTAATATAGTTAATAAATGATCAGGATTAGAACTCAAGACAATGTAATTTCAGAGCTCCAATTGAATCACAATCATCAACACTAAAATCCTTGAAAGTWCAATTTTATAATAAAAAATTTGGAAATACATTTTATTTTCTTCAATTATGAAACTTTGTTCTGGGTATTAATTTTTGGTTCTTTTGGAATATAAATACATATGTATTATGCAAGAGTGGCCCTTATTCTTGTCAATAATAAGTTATGTATTTGTATAATATATGTAATGCACACACAAACTATACATTTATTTATTATGTCTGTTTTTGCCTATGGGTCAATATTTCATAGCATATGTTTATGGCTACGAAAGTATTTCTCATGACTGTAAATACCACCCTTTTGTTGAAAACCTACTTTTGCACATGAGTGTTTCCCTGGGGAGTCCTTACTCATGCTGTGAAAATCAGTTTCTTATTTTGAAAGTGAGATTTGGTATACATAAAAATTTTAAATCTAGAAACAAATTGTGCATTTGGAGCAATTGTGCTTAGAGAAACAGATTACTGTCACATTGCTGACAGAGGAAGGATCAAGAGGTAGAAGTGCAGAGAGAACCCATAAGCAGGGAGGGAAGGCTTTGAAAGTCTCTGGAGAGTTTCTGTAGGAGTCAGAGCTGGAGTCCTAGTAGCTGAACTTCCCTGAAATTTCTCTTGTATCCACAATATGCATCAGTCCAACTTGAGTTAACACAATGGACAGATGCCCGYTCTTGTGAGAGAAACTGAATATATAATATATGCCAGTTCTTGTGAGAGAAACTGAATATGTAAGAATGAAGGCAGTGGGCACCTGCTTCTTTGGTGACAGGGTTGTAAAAAAGGGAGAGGAAGTGGGAAGAAAAGGGGATTGTTGGAGATAATTGGTCCCTGGACCACTGATGACTATGAAAAAAACAGGTCCTTGGAGTTGAGACAGCAATACCTATTATGACTAGAGGTGA